TTGAAAATGGACCAATCAGGGATGCACCAGTGTTTTCCCCTGATCGGCAGGTCCTCTAGCGCTGCTCTACTGGAGCCTCTAGTGGGGGAAGAAAGCTCCCCCCGCTTGTTCCAGCCTGCCGGTTCCTTTGCGGCTGCTGCCACCAAGACAAAAGTGGCAGGTCCCCCAGCCCTGCTCTGCTGAGCTGGCTAGGGTACCACTTTTCCGGTATCACTAGGACATTTATCTGGCCCACCGGGTGTTTTTGTTGCCGCTGCCTGTCCTGCTTAGCAGCGGACTTGTCCCAGGTCCTGCAGTCCAGCCCTCCAAAGGTCTGAGGGACAGTGAACTGGCTCCCTGTTTAAAAAGTTTGAGGCCCCTTGGTATAGAGGAGGCAGGTGGGTTGCGTGAGCTGCCACTAAATAACCAAGCCTCTGTCCAGCAGGGCCCCCTCAGCAAAAGAACACTGCAGGTGGGGGAAGGAGAGGAGAGGAGAGGAAGCTGGTGGGGTGGGCTCTGTGGATAGCTGAGGAAGAGGTCCTCTAAGAGCAGAGGACAAGTGACTCACACATCTGACGTTTTACAGAAATATTAGAATAACTGATTGTCATTGAACAACGTTGTTTAAGAGGAACTAAGAGGTGTTGTGGTTGAGAAAGTGGAACGCCTTATAGACACCTAATCCATGAGAGTGGCACATGGACTCTGTTTTAAAGCTGTTCACATTTTTCTAAACGTATGGGTCTTCTTTGGTGGGGCAACTGTGTTCTTGCCAGAACCGAGTTGGCAATTTATTTTGCTCAAATAAAGCAAAAGGTGGTGACCTCTCTCCACCTTTAGTATTTTATTTATTTTTATTTTATTTTATTTTATTTTATATTTTTGAGAGTCTCACTATGTCACCCTTGGTAGAATGCCATGGCATCACAGCTCACAGCAACCTCAAACTCTTGAGCTTAAGCAATTCTCTTGCCTCAGCCTCCCAAGTAGCTGGGACTGCAGGCACCCGCCAAAACACCGGGCTATTTTTTGTTGCAGCTGTCATTGTTGTTTAGCAGGCCTGGCCAGGTTGGCAACCACCAGCCCCGGTGTATGTGGCTAGCACCCTAACCACTAAGCTATGGGCGCCGAGCCTAGTATTTTTTTTTTAAATGCCATTTGTCCCTACTTGAGAGGAGGGTGATCAGGTACCTTTTAGCCATCAGAGAGGACAGAAGAAGAAGGAGCACTGCTCTTCCCCAGGGGGCTCTTTACAGAGTAAGAACCACTAAGATTGGGAGGGGAGGTGGGGACCTTGAGGCCTTTTAGAGGAGGAAAAAAGGATGCTTCCTTTGTGGGTTTCAGAAATTCAACTTTTCCGGCGGTGCCTGTGGCTCAAAGGAGTAGGGCACCGGCCCCATATACCAGAGGTGGTGGGTTCAAACCCAGCCCCGGCCAAAAACTGCAAAAAAAAAAAAAAAGTCAACTCTTCCCTGTTAACTT